TTAATTTTTCAAATAAAAGTCTAACCTCAAATTTTTAAGAGACCAACAGTTATATCTGTAGTCGATGTTTTTCGAATTGCAATAAACTGAAAAAGACTTTTCATTATGATAATTTCTTATCGTATAAATATTCCGTTGTCGAATCTTTTTTTCTTGGTAACATTTTAACAGTGACCTGCATTTTTTTCTTTGAACAATCTTTAATTTTTCAAATAAAAGTCTAACCTTAAATTTTTAAGAAATCAACAGTTATATCTGTAACTTCCTGGTAACATTTTAACAAGGGCCTTGGATATTTTCTTTAAACAAACATCAATTATTCAAACGAAAATCTAACCTCAGATTTTTAAGAGATCAACAATTATTTGTAGTTGATCTTCGAATTGCAATAGGGAAAATTTTTGCACCGAGGGAAATCTTTCATTAGAATATCGTACATGTGTTCCACTGTCGAATAGAAAAAATAAAAAAATTATATTTATATATTATTATAAATATAATTTTATAATATTGTTATATTTATATATATTTTTATAATTATATCGTGTATCACTCAAACACGTCAATAAACGCCGTATACATCCGGCGTTCGTAATGAAAGGGTTAATAAGATTTTTCTTTTAATCCAACTTTTAATTCATTCAGGGTTCGTCGACCGAAAGTCTCTCGCGTTCGTCACAGGGTGGTGAGCAATAAACGATTCAGCGCTCGTTCAAGATTCAAGTATATATATATATATGTATGTATATATATATATATATATATATGTATGTATATTTTAAAGCTAATAGTATACAGTGTGACAATCGTGTATTCAAGAACAATCGTGTATCCTCGACAGCGGCGTCGTCGAGTCCGTCTCAATTGCCTCGAAATCTCTGCTGAAAGACGATGAAAATCGCTTGTTGGAAAATCTTCGTCTCCCGGATCTTCCAAATCGGCTGCGTCTCGTCTACGTTGTTCCGTGGATACTCGAAATTTTCGTTAACATTCCGTTGGGCGTTTTCAACGAGGAAAATAGAAATCGATCGGCTACTACTGGCCCTCGAAAACTATTTGTATTTATACACATAGAATACTTTATGTCGTATGATACACTCACGCGCGCACACACACACATACACACACACAAACACACAAACCTCTCGCGGAAATGGTTCGCTTTATACACATCGAGTCTCCGTTTGTACTTCACACGATTAAACGATTTTACGCGTTTCGAGCCTCGCCAAGAATCGAACGAAAAAAAAA